AATTTGAGAGGGGAAAAGGGAAGCCTGTCCTTTATACAGTTTTCGTGCGCACAGTTACGCAAAAGTTTGAAGAAGCTAACGGAACATGGTACTTTTTGTTCTTCATTCATGATAGTGAGTCAGTCGGTAAGTGGCCTACTGCTAAGCATATCCCTGTCATTAGCACTTTGAATCAGATAGCTGTCACACTCTCTTCCTGCAGAGATTGCCTTGGTTAAGTTAATATAGTCTGCAAGTGGTGGAAGTTGGATTTAAAATGCAAATATGTACAGTGATTTAAAATTTATAGTTGATTTTGACTTTGGGCCAGCTACTTGGGCTGACTTGCAGCAAATCTCCACGAATGAAGATATTCCCGGTGAAGTTCAGTAGTGTCTTGCTTTTAATCATTGAGAATGTGGTGAAAAAAACTACAGGACTTCTAAACCTAACTATAAAATGTCAGATTGAGTGTAGTACAGTCAGTTGATATGCTTGTGGCATGATTGGTATTGTAATTTGTGGATTTACTAGTTACAGTTGCCTTGTATGCACCTGTTGAAAAAATGCACTCGATGTCTGTCAATACCTGTGTAATAAAGAGTGCGTTCCATTCAATTTAAGATCTTTGAATTATTTTGGTTCCTAAATTCATTTTTATGTTTTGAAGGTGCAATCATCGAAAGCCTTAAGACAATTTTCCTTGTTTGTTTGGATTCAGGTTTGCAAGTGCTTCAAACATCCTTAATCTGTGATTTTTGAGAGTGTCTGCCACTTTGGATTCCACCCAAATCTTCCTTCTTTGCCTCTTATTGGTGTATTTCTTCCCTCCAATCCCGAACTCCTCTGTCTGCACTCCCCCCTCCCCTCTGCAGGTATTGAATCACTCCAGGGTTTGCTTGTCATGGTGCCTGTAGCCCTATGGTATTATCATGTCAATCGTTATCTTCTACTTGATCTTCCTGGTTCCACAGGCAGCTCATTATGGCCAAGCCCATTCTTGAAGTCTTTCTTGCTAGGCTGTGAATACTACATTAGGAGTTGTTAGTGACAAATCATTACAACACATCCTAATCCATTATATTCTTACATGGCAATGTTTCTTTGTCACTGTCAATGGAAGCTGAGAGGCTTGACTCTAACCAAAAGCTAAATAAAGACAGATTATTTGATTTAAACCAGCTTAGCAAAACACAACTCAGCCAGTTTTACCTAAGTGTAAATCATGTATGTGATTTAAAAAAAAAATTAATTGGAACATCTTATTGATTTTATTTTAATTGAATGGTAATTTCAACTTCTGTCACAAAACAACAAAGTCCTCACTTTAACTGTCGGATAATTGATCTATCTCTATGATGTGTCCTTCACAGAAAGTGCTCTATCACAAGTTTCGTGGATGATGGACAAACCTGCATTCACCAGGGAATTATTAGGTGCCTTCTCCATAACCGTTCCCAACACTCCTGTGTTACAAGCTTATTGAGACTGCAGGAAATGATGATCGTTCTGGATGTGACTTGCTCTAACCAAAGCTCACCTGTCTTAATTAAGGTGACTTAAACTGTGTATTCCCGATAGCATTTTCCTGCTGGCCTTCATTTCGTAAGATTTAATATTTTAAATAGAACTGCCTTTGTACAAGGCATTCCAAACAGATTGCTTAGCTCAATGCTACGTAACAATTCTGTCCTAAACTTTTAGCTCGATGTTTTTACATTCTGTCTTGATCTTCATGTTGCATAAGTAGTCTGTAGAAACACTTCTTGTCCAGTACTTTACCTTACACTTAGGGTTTGAGGGCATACAGTAGTAATGCTGTTAAGTTAGCTGTTACTTATATAATTCAAATAGTAAGACAATTTAAATGTACATTTTAGACTTTGCCTGGTTAACAAGATACAGGTCTTCTGTCTGCTGGTCCTCCCAGTTGACACTATATCCACCCTTGCAAATGCATTCTCATGATCAGTATAATTAATTAACAATTGTGCAGCAATGCAACACTCAGACAAAACACAGATTTTATATAAGCAGCTGTACGGTAATTAATCTTGAAGGATTTCACTATCAAACAATTTCTTCCAATTTTGGAAGCAGTAGACAAAATATGGAAGAAGTTTTCTTCCATCAAGCTAGATATATAGTGTTGTGATTGCCATGTTACAGCATAGCAGCTCCAACAGTTGACCATGGAATAGAACAATGCTCTCTAACCAGGGTTTCAACAGACAGGTCGAAGGAATGTTTTATTTGTATTCTTGAATTGAAGCTTTTGGTTTTCAAATTTTATTAGAGCTACAGCTCTGTAACATTACCATCTGCTTTGCATTCAGCTACAAGAGAACTTCAGATGTCCCAAATAAAAGAAATGTTGATTTGTGATGCCAATTAAGTGCCATTGTTTTCTTCACTTGCGAATAAGAAAAACGAAATGAGATGGCCAACACAGATAATGGGCAACAGCAGAAAATGGGAAAATTTTTTGTTAAAATCGAAACCAGCAGTCACTTGTAAAATAAGCATTAAGTAATCAAGTCTCCTTATAAGAGAATGGTTCAGTGCTCAGATCCTTGCACACCTGCAGTTCTGATATTCCCTAACTTATAAATAGAAAACAAATGCTAGAAGGCACTTGCGTTTCGTCCATGTGTACTGAAGTTCGCATCCTTTCAGTATGGAAAGAACTTGTAGATGCATCAAGAAGGATGCTAGAGACTTATCTACTTCTGTAATTTGAGTAGAAAATAATTTTAGCCTATCCATTTTACCATCACACACTAGGAAGCTCTGCAATCTCAATTATTCAAAAGCAATTGCTTTCTTTATCCTAGAATTTTTGGAACTATTCTCAGACCATACTCTTCTAAGCTCTTTTAGAGATAGAGCTTGCTTTCTCCATCCCTTGCCTAAAACAGCCCAACCGCACAGTGTTGCATAATTGCATTTAAAGGAGCTGAGGTCCTGCGGGTATCTGCTGATCTCAAGATTGAAAACCAAAAGCTTCAATTCAAGACTACAAATAAAACATTCCTTTGACCTGTCTGTTGAAACCCTGGTTAGAAAGCACTGTTCTATTCCATGGTCAACTGTTGGAGCTGCTGGATGCTGGGAGACGAACCAGATGAAGGCACTCTAGGACAGATGAGAGTTTTCCAGCAAACTGCTTTTGTTGATGATGAGATGTAGTTCAGCTTAAATTACTTTCCAGCAACTGTTTACTCAATCCCCATCTTGTCTATGGGCAGCACGGTGACACAATCGTTAACACCCCTACCTGACAGTGCCAGGGATCTGAGTTTGATTCCAGTCTTGGGCGACTGTCTGTATAGAGTTTGCACATTTTCCCCAAGTCTGTCTGGGTTTCTTCCAGGTGCTCTAGTTTCCTCCCACAGTCCAAAGATGTGAAGGTTAGGTGGATTAGCCATTAGAACTGCAGGATTACAGGGATAGGTTACAGGGTGGGCCTCGGTGGGATGCTCTTCGGAGGCTCACAGTGGACTGGATGGGCCGAATAGCCCGCTTCCACACTGTAGAGATTTTATGGTCGGATCAGTACAGATGGATTTCCTCCCACTAGCAACATCTGAGCAGATATTAACACTAGCGTTCAGATTAGAGTGTTCATAAAGTCTTAAAAGGTGTAGTTCAACTTGTATTCAACCTTATTTCAAGCTCAGTCGTGGGAGATTCCTCTTTTTGTTTCTAAAGAACAGGTATCCCTATTCAGAAAATATTTAAATAAACATTACTCAAGTAAATATGGCTTTTTCACTTCATTGCAGCCAGGTGAACTGTGGCTCAGTTGGGTAGCGCTCTTGTCACTGAGTCACGTCCCACTCCAGGACTTGAGCACAATAATCATGTCTGATACACTCCAGCGTGGTACAGAGGGAGGGCTGCAGCTGTAGCTACCTAAGTCTGATGACATATTAACCAATGGCCTGTTTCCCTACTTTGGATGTAAGACCCTATGGCACAATTTCAAAGAGCAGTGAAGTTCTGCAGTGTCCTGACTTCTCCATCAATCAACATCGTTAAAACTGATTATCTAGTCATTATCATGTTGCTTATGGGAGTTTGGTCTGTGCAAAACTGACTTCTATGTTTCCTGCCTTGTAATCTTAACTATGATTAGCTGTGAAATGCTTTGGGATACCCAGTGGTCATGAAAATACAAATGGTTCTTTCTTTCAACACAGCCTGCTTATGCAGCAAGCTGTTCATCAGTCCCGAGACACTTTGGTGTGTGCACAATATGAGTGGTTTTCACATGCTACCTTTGCTGTCAACTTTTCCAGCGATGACATTGAGTCACGATTATGTCCTTGATCCATCTCCTTCATATTCTGAGATACACCCAACCACAGTAATCTGGTGATTGGCAATACTCAGTTGATGACTTCCCTATTATGAATCCTGTTACCAGTGTGGCTGAATCCAAGCATCTCAGTTTTGTTTTTAATGACTAAACAAACAGGAAAATAGTCCATGAGAAGCAACAATATTACAGATGATGATGGAAGTTGAGGGATCACTTGAAATGTTTCAGAAACCAGTGCTTTGCTTTCTTGGTTATTTAATGAATGGAGGCAAAGTCTATTTTAGGTACAAAGTGCTCAAATAGAGTCCTTTCTTCCAATATTGCAAAGGATACAGCTTCCATTATTCTTTCAGGCAAGAGTTACGGCAATTTCTGGCAGGGGAAGCTGTTGAAGTTTTACTACTTCTGTTGGAGCAGCTGTTTGCGATATTCCTGAGTAGACCCAGCAGCCAGTCTGCACATTGCTCTTTATTTCAGAAAGACAGTCATCCATGGTTTAGAACAAAGCCATCCCAGTAGTACTAACAGTGTATGGGTGTTCTCAGGGACAGGACGTTAAGACCACGAGGCCTTCCAAGAAGATTTAACCTGTCACCAGCCACAGTAGAAAAGTTGTGTTTATCTCTGAACTATTCAATTGCAGGTAAGTGATCAATAAGCCAAGGTATTTTTAAAGAGAGCCTGATGGCAAAATATAAACCATAGTGGTGTGGGCTGTTGTCTCAACATTTAACTCCACACTTTGTGAAATTTTGCACCATTGTGTGCCCGGCTTCCATGTGGAAGTGAAATATCTTTCAGATGAGCAGATGCTTTGCTGGAAACTTCTAATCTCCAAAAGCTGCTTTCCACCTTCTGTGTTTTGGATCCTGTAGTGACTAAGTAGTCCACTATTGGATTCACTGTTTACATTTGGCCTCCCCTGGGCCTGTCAGCGAGGCTGTTTTTGTTGGTTCCTTCATGAACGATTCTTCTATAGTCATGGACAAGAGGTTTTCATGAGTCGGTGAAGATCTTGCAGCTTTTCAGCTTTTCAGAGAGATTGTTCTTGACCCTGCTCTCCTGGTAACCACTTGAAACTCAGGGTAGAGAGCTCATTTTGGAAGTCTTAGCAGGCGAGTAAGCAATTTGGTCAAACCCATGTAGCTGATTGACCTTGACCAGTACCTCGATGCTGGGATGTTGGCCTGAAAGATGACACTGATATTGAACAACCTATCCTGTCAGTGGATTTGCAGGATATTGTGGAGGCCTGCGTGGTGATATTTCCCAAGTGATCTATGGTGTCTGTTGTATGTTGTTCAAGTCTCCAAAGCATACAGGAGGGCTCTTAACACAGTCATAAAATCATACAGTGCGGAAACATACCCCTCAGTCCAACTCATCTGCACCAACCAGAGGTCCCAATCTGACGTAGCCCCATTTGCCAGCATTCGGTCCATATCCCTCTAAACCCTTCCTATTCATATACCCATCCAGATGCCTTTTAAATATTATAATTGTACCAGCCCCCACTACTACTACTGGCAGCTCATTCCATACAGGTACCACCCTCTGTGTGGAAAAAGTTACCCCTCAGGCCCTTTTTAAACCTTTCCCCTCTCACCTTAAACCTATGCCCTCTAGTTTTGGACTCCTGAACCGTAGAAAAAAGACCTTGACTATTCACTGTATCCATGCCCCTCAGCCTCTGACGTTCCAGGGGAAAAAGCCCCAGCCTATTCAGCCTCTACCTATAGCTCAAACCCTCCAGGCCCAGCAATGTCCTTGTAAATCTTTTCTGCATCCTCTCAAGTTTAACAACATCCTTCTTATAAAATGGTGATCAGAATAGTACGCTGTATAGCAAAAGTGGCCTCACCAATGTCCTGTGCAGCCATAACACGATATCCCAACTCCTACACTCAATGTTATGACCAATGAAGGCAAGCATGCCAAATGCCTTCTTCAGCACCCTGACTACCTGTGACTCCACTTTCAAGGAACTATGCACTGACACCCCTACTTCTCTGTTCAGCATTACTCCCCAGGCCCTTACCATTAACTGTATAGTACTGCCCTGGTATGCCTTAACCAAAATGCAACACCTCACGTTTATCTGAATTAAACTTCATCTGCCACTTCTCAGCTTCATCAGCCCACCTGATCAAGGCCCTGTTGTACTCTGAGATAATCTTCTTCACTGTCTACTACACCACCTATTTTGGTGTCATCTGCAAATTTACTAACCATATCTCCTATGATCACATCCAAATCATTTATATAAATGATGAAAAGCAGCAGACTCAGCACCGATCCTTGCAGCACAGCACTGCATGCAGGCCTCCTGTCCACAAAACAATCCTCCACCACCACTCTCTGTCTCCTACCTTCGAACCAATTTTGTATCCAATTGGCTAGCTCCTCATGGATTCCGTGTGATCTAATCTTATTAAACAGTCTACCATGTAGAATGTTTGTCCTGTAGACCATGAACATGATGCCTGGTTTGATGGTGTCAAACACTCTGTTTCTCAGATGGCCAAAGGCTGAGCTGGTGCACTGGTGACAACATTGGCTTCCATCGTTGATGTGTACCCCTGCTGAGAGGAGGCTTCTGTGGTATGTGAATTAATCCATGTTGTCTGCTGCTGGTCTTGACAGTCAGGGGGGCTGTATTGCATGGCAAGAGTGAATTGGTAAGGACCTTTCTCTTCTAGATGTATACCCAAGTGCCCATTCTCTCATGCACATCCGTGAAAGCATTGACAATGGTTTGGAACTCAGTCTCTGAGCTTCCGTGTATGCAAGCATTATCTAGGTTGGAATGGTTTTGGTTCTGACCTGGAAATGATCCAGTTTGAACAGTTTTTTGCTCAACCTGTGGATTAGCTTCATTGATATGAGGTGGGTGTTACAGCCAGAAAGATGGAGAAGGTATTTGGCACAGTAGCAGTCTTCCTTGATCCCAGTTTGCAATAATATTGCGTCAGTGGTGGATCAGATTTTGCATACTGCTGTGCAGCAGGTGGAGGATGGTAATGAATTTCTGAGGGTCAACTGGAGGACACACCATAGTGCCTCCTGGTTAATAGAGTCAAAGGCTTTTGTACAGAGGTTGCTGCTGAGTCTGCACTTTTGCTGGACATGTCTTGGTGTGAACATCAGTCATTGCGCCACTTGATGGACGGAATTCTCATTGACTCCAGGGGGAGCTCTTCAGCCATGGGAGGAGGTGATTGAGCAGAATTCTTGCAATGACCTTCCCCATGTTGAACAGCATGAAGACCCCTCTGTAGTTCCTCCAATCAGCCTTATCCCCTTTCTTAGAGAAAAGTTATGTCTATAATGGAACTGTAAATCCAGAATATAGAAATTTGATTTGATTTATTATTGTCACATGTACCTGGGTGCAGTTGAAAGTTTTGTTTTGTGTGCAGTACAGGCAGATCATACTGTATTAAAGATCATAGGGTGATTGAACAAAGCGAGGAATATAAAGTTTTGGCTGCAAAGAAGGTGCTCAAAAAGCAAGATCAACATTAGATTTGAAATCTTAGAGGTCCATTCATATAATAGTTATATATCTCTATACTGTAGATGCAACTAGAATATAAAATAAAATCCAATAGAGAATCAAAGGTTCGTGAGAATGTGGAACTATTACCACTGGGACTTGTTGAAGCAAATAGTGTTGATGCTTTAAAGAAAGGCTGGATAACCAGAGGAGGGAGAAGAGAATAAGAGGTTAAGCTAATTGATTTTGATGGATAATGTGGAGAATAAACACTAGCGTGGACTGGTTGAACTAAATGGCCTGTTTCTGTGCGGAACTATATTTGTATATCCTATGTAGGACTGGAGATCTGATTTTCCTTGTTTATGAGTTTGGTTTCCCTTGACCTTGCCTAATAGACAGGTATCTTCTCACATTGTTTATTGCTAAGACATAGCTGAGACACAGCACAATGTATTTTGGAAGCTGTGTTTCAACAGCAAGTACTTGGGCCTCCCTAGTGGGTGCCCTTCCTAAATTGATACTACTTTGGTATGTTTGCTAAAGGCCACACAACAAATAAATTAAGGCAAAGCTGCAGACACTGAAGATTGGAAACAAAAACAGAAATTGCTGGAGAAACTCAGCAGGTCTGGCAGCATCTGTGGAGAGAGAAACAGAGTTAAAGTTTTGAGTTAGGGATTCAGAAGAAGTCATATTGGACTTGAAATATTAAGTCTTTCTGTCTCCATCGAGGCTGCCAGATCTGTTGAGCTCCTCCAGCACTTTTTGTATTGTCGTACGTAACAAAGAAGTTCAGATTGCCACCGTTGTATGTTTTTTTTTGTCTTTCTTTGAACAATTGTGTGGATCATTGTTGAGTCTTATGCCTCAGAATCGTGCAGGGAATGTTTTGAATAAAAGTTTTTTTCGGCAAGTGCTTTTAAAATGTCTGCACCTCAAGCTTCCAGCTTCTTGCTTTTGGTTTAGTTTCTGTTTCTCAGTCACCACACCCAGGCTGAATTAATAACTCACAGAACAGAGAAGAAACAACATAGGCATGTACTCAAACACCGACCTGCTTGTTAAATAAAACAAAGAACTGCTGGAGATCCGAAACAAAGAAAGACGGAAATTGTAGAGAAACTCAGCAGGTAGAGAGAAAACACAGTTAACGTTTCAAGTTGAGTGATCCTTCTTCGGAACTGAGAAGCTCAGAAAGAGTGGTATTTATGCTGATGACAGGGTGTTGGGAGGAAAAGGAGTGGAATAAATGAAGATGGAGCCCAGAGAGAGAGAGAGGAAAAAGAAAGGGTAGGTAGAGCTTGTTGATAGTAAACTAGGGAAGAAGAGAAGTTAGGAAATAATGGGGACTATGAGTAGGCAAAAATGTGTTGGCTGTGCTAATAGCAACCCATTTTATGACAGGAACTTGGGTGTAGGGCAGATAGTAGATGTGGAGGGAGGCTTTTATACTCTAACATTGTTAAATTCAGTGTTGTGTCCTGTAGGTTGTAAGGCCCCCCAAGCGGAAGTTGAGGTGTTGCTCCTCCAGCTTGCATTGATCCTTGCTGGAGCACTGCAGCAGGCCTGAAACTAAAATTTCCTGTGGATGATTTCTGGGTCTCATTATGAATGGAAGACATTCTCTGATGCATTCTGAACCTGGAAATGGAGAAGTATTGCATTCATTTTCTTTTCCAACATCTAGACAGGAGATGTAGAAACCACCTCAGCTGTGTCTGGGAGATTGGCCTTCACCTTGCCATTTTGATAAACCACCACACTGACATGCTAACTTCTCTGCCCTGGGCCTGCTGCCGTGTTTCAATGAAGCACAAGGCAAGCTCAAGGAACAAGAGGCCAGGCAGCATCAGAGGAGCAGAAAAGCTGACGTTTCAGGTCTGGACCCTTCTTTGCTCCTCTGATGCTGCCTGGCCTGCTGTGTTCAACCAGTTCTACACTTTGTTATCTCAGACTCCAGCATCGGCAGTTCCTACTGTCTCTCAAAGAACAAGATCTTGTTTTCCACTGAGACACTTTACAGCCTCTAGGGGTCAACATTTAATTCCACAACTTCAGGTCATGACTTCTGTATCCTTAACTTTCCTTACATTCCGCACACCACCACCCCCCCCCCCCCCCAAGCCCAGCCCACCACCACCACAACCCCACTGTCCCCGGCATGCACGTGCACACGCAGGCGCGCGCACACACACATACACACACACACCCGCCACCCAAAGAGTTGTATCTTGTTGACTTTATTCTCAACACAATGAATCCATTTTCTCCCTTTCACACCTTCATTTACACCTTTTTTACATCACCGTCTTTCCTTGACCACCATTAGCAACCCTTTTTGACTCTGGGCAGCCTCACAATCTGTTCCACTTGCTCCTCTGTCTACAGCATAAAAACCACAATTTTCCAACTCTTTCCAGTTCTGAAGAAGGGTCACCAGACTCAACACGTTAACTCTGTTTCTCTCTCCTCTGATGCTGCCAGACCTGCTGAGTTTCTCCAGCAATTTTTGTTTCTATACTGGAGTAGATACCATGGCGTCTTACCTTTAGAGCTTAATATTAGCAGAAGACCTGCTTCATTTTTATTTCCTAAATCAGCCGCCCTATTTGGGTTTTTTCACCAATGCTCTCAGGGCTTAAGTGCAGCGCATATGATTATTAGAGAAGGATCTGAGACCATCCAAGTTCATTGTGTTTAGGACAGAACAGAAACTCCTTTAGTCTGAGCTAGATTCAAATGTAGGTCTCAACAGGGAAACGGATATGTTCTAACCAATTGCACCAGCTGGCTACTTTGAAAAAAAAACTGTAGAAATCAAATGTGTTTCCTGTTAAAAAATGAACAATATCTCAAAGTAGATTAACTTTTTATCCACAATAAATTATTCTCGGCAGGTCTGGGTTTCCTCAATTTCAAGTACATTGTGTGAGCTGGGGGAGAGAAGAGGATAATACAGTCGCTCCTGTTACTCAAGGCATATTGCTTGTTCCATAACTTATCCCATTGTTGGAGCATTGTCCAGTAATAGACCATGTGGAAGCATCGTCTGATTAAGTACTCTGTGCTTACCAAGCTTTCAAAGTGCTGCAGTTAGCCAGTGAAAACGCTGCTCTTTCAAACACTGATCAAATGAAGACCAGAATACCATCGACAGAACAGCATCCAGGGCTACAGACTGGCCAACCACCTGTTTCTCAATGCAGGTGAGAAAGTGGGAGGATTAGGTCTGCATTTCTTGAGGATATTCAGCCTTGAATTAGTCTTTGACGGGGCATGCTTTGGGATCACACAATAGCTATTCTGTGGGATACAGAATTGTTTGAGAAGGCTTCTCTTAGAAGGGGCCTGCAACGGCCTTCAATAAATGGACTTCTCAACATAGAATCATAAAATGGTCAAAGCACAGTCAACGTTTCGGGGTGGCACGGTGGCTCAGTGTATAGCACTGATGCCTCACAGCGCACCAGGGACTGGGACTGGATTCCACCCTGAGATGACTGTCTGTGTGGAGTTTGCACATTTTCCCCATGTCAGCATGGGTTTCCTCCCACAGTCCAAAGATATGCAGGTTAGGTGGGTTCGCCATGCTAAATTACCCATAGTGTCCAGGGATGTGTAGGTTGGGTGGATTAACCATGAGAAATGCAGGATAAGGGGTGGTCTGTGTGAGATACTCTTTGGAGGGTAGGTGTGGCCTTGATCGGCTGAATGGCCTGCTTCCACGCTGTAGGGATTCTTAAAAACAAAAATCCCTGGAAAATCAAGCAGTGGCAGTTTGCTATTGTGTCTTATGGGAATCTGTTTCAGCGCACTGTATTCCATCTTGACTTGCCTCTAGCAACCTGCTAAATATCTGAAATGAATCAAATACTCGGACGCCTCTCAAGAGTATTTGACTATATCCAGGTCTTTTAAATCCAGTGAGACAAAGATAATGGAGATGTAAGCCGGCAATTTGGCTCACAGTTCATGTAACCAGAGACAGAGGTTTAAAATTAAACATTTTGAGCAAGACAAGAAATTAGAAAATAGCCCCTGGAGAGAAGTGGATCCGTGCAACAGATTCCAAGGGAATGTAATTGATCCTGTGCCAATTAACACCTTCCAGCTGGATAGCTATTTACTGGAATTATGTAACAGCTTGTAAAGCAAGAAGCTAAGACAACCAATGCTCCAAGGTTGACACTTGTTATTTATAAACATTGTAAACCACTCTCCAATTACGTGTTCAAAGCATATGTCAGTCTGCCTGAGTTTTAGACTTTGAGAGACCATGATACAGTCAATTGTCCTTGTATTATTTTACTTGTGATATTGAAAAAAAGGCAAGTAAAGATTGAGGTGAGCTGATGGTGATTGTTAAAATGTCTATAGTTTTCAGAAGAATGAAAGAAGGGCCAGAGGAACTAGAGTGGGCCATTCAGCAGCTCTACCTTTCATTCGGACAAAGACTGATGTGTACTTTCAAGTTCATCTTCCTGCTGTAGTTTGATAGACCTAAATGGCCTTACTTGACATCCAAATTTCAATCTCTGCTTTGAAATTTTCAATTGACCCCCAAGCCTCTACAACTTTTTGGGGGTGAAGAGTTGCCGATTTTCAAAATGTTTTGTGTGAAGAAGTACTTTCTGACATTACCTTGAATGTTCCAGATCCAATTTTAAATAGTTTTGCTGCCTTGTTCTGGACTTCTTCGTCAGATAGAATAGTTTCTCTCTGCCTACGCTATTAAGATCTTTAAAAATCTCAATTTCGATTATTTCTTAATACTTGATTTTCAAGAAGAAACACAAGTCTAGCCCAGGTAAATTCTCCTCATAATTTAATCTCTTGTTATGTGATATTGGCTCATTCGTTATACTGGTTAAATGGACATGGAAGGTGCATGTTGAATTGAAACAAAGGACCATGAGGTTTTTGAACTCACCTTTTAAAAGTTCCTGCATTCAGATAACGGATCATAATTCCTTTAAGGGGCCATGTGTCATGAGTCACCTAGAAGCTGATCCAGCTCCAGGAAAACTTACAATGATGAAGGCGATGCCTCCTCCCACAAAATAGGTGGCCAGTTCGGGAGAGCAGGGTGTGGGCTTACTGCTTTCATATATGTCACGTGTCAGTGAAAGTTGCTGGGAGTTTCCGAATCTGATCCCACCTGTCATTTCTAAATGGGCCCTGGAATGATTCCGACTGCATGATCATCCAGGTCTAAGAGTGTGCAATGTGTGAAGAGTTCCAACACTGACAAAGGCACCTTGTCATGAATGAGTTCTTTCAAAGAACTGATGATTTGAAAGTGCTGGTGTTGGACTAGGGTGAACAAAGTCAGAAGTCACATGTCACCAGGTTATAGGCCAACAGGTTTATTTGAAATCACAAGCTTTTGGAGCGCTGCTTCTTTGTCACCTGATGAAGGAGCAGCACTCTGAAAGCTTGTGATTTCAAATAAACCTGTTGGACTATAACCTGGTGTTGTGTGACTTCTGATTATGAAATGATGAAACAGGGCAGGCAAGGGAGGAAGGAAACTCTCCTGTGAGAAGGTCTCGTCTTTGATTATACTTGACGAACAACCAAATTCACTGGCAATTCTGGGTTGTGAGGGCAAACTATCTTTGGATCCCTGTCAGGAGCTGAGGCTTCAATTAGAAACAGATTTCTGCATTGAGCACAATCTTGCTGATAGCATTGAAGGTGATGTCTTCACTCAGCCATTATTCTTCCAGCTCATTTCTAGTCCCTGAGGTATGACTGCAATCTTTAGACGGTTCTCCGGATTAGATTCGACAACACAGGTGACAGATGTTTTGTCAAGACCGGAAATCTGCAATATGTACTTTCCTTAAACAAGAGATCAGCAAAAGTATTGCAGATCTAATTTGCATATCCCTCCCTCCACACAATGCTGGATTGCATGCATGTCAAATGATACAAATTTCCATGGAATCTAATGTTATCTGAAGTTCAAGCACATTGTGTGGTGGTTTGGATAATACATGCAGTGTGTTGGGAGTATCTTATCATGTTGCCATCATTCTGTCACTGTTCAGAGCAACACTTGTGTGGGAACAGACAAATTGTAGGATGTTTTCTTTTTTCAATTTTTTTTACCATGCGTGTCCTCCAGGATGAGGCAAAAGGTGATCTTTCCTGATTTAATTTCTCATCTTGCTTTTTTTTCAATGGAGTGGAATCCTGATTGTTGAATGCATTTCCCACTAGTGAAACACATCATGATCCAATTTTAAAAAGAATAATAGAGTGTAGGGGGAGAAAAGGTCATTAAACCCATAGAGTACATGCTCTATCAATGTATGTCATGTCCATTAAGTCTTTGAAATAAAAAGTATAATAGAATTTGGTAGCATAGATACAGAGAAAGATTATAAACTGAGATGACCACATGAACATGGTACATGGACCTGACAGTGCAGTGGTGTACAGCCAGTTCAATAAGGTGAATGCTCTTGCCTGATTATTGACAATACAGCCAGAATATATAGGGGAGAAACAAGCCCTGCCCAGTTATCATTTACACATTTGCCAATTGACATGGCTCAGTGGTTAGCACTGCTGCTTCACAGTGCCAAGGACCTGGGTTCAATTCCACCCTCAGGTGACCGTCTGTGTGGAGTTTGCACATTCTCCCTGTGTCTGCGTGGGTTTCCTCCGGGTGCTCTGGTTTCCTCCCACAATACAAAGACTTGCAGAATAGGTGGATTGGCGTTGCTAAATTGCCCGCAGTGTCCAGTGATGTGCAGGCTAGGTGGATTAGCCATGGGAAATGCAGGGTTACAGGGATAGGGTAAGGGAGGGTTTGGGTGGGAAGCTCTTCTAAGGTTCAGTGTGGACTTGATGGGCCAAATGGCCTGTTTTCACACTGTAGGATTCTATGAATATGAATGACATTTGACTAAAGTCTCCAATGGATGGACTATAGACTAACTATCAACAAACATTTTTAGGAGGGAGAGTTTTAGAGGGACTGCCCACAATTGAGGAAAGTTTAAGCCAAACTCTTGCGTAAAACTGACTAATTGTAATGGTTGACCATGACAAATGGTTTAAAAAAAAGCCAAATGTCCAACAAATGACAGACAATTATACCAACAAAAACCTATTGTAATACAATTTTGTTATTTGAGCATCCATAACCTTTTAAGTGAGAGTTCCAGATATCCAGTGCCCTATGTGTGAAAAGTTACTTCCTGAACTCTCCTTGAAGTCACCAGTTTCAATTTTGTGGTTATATCTCATTGCTTTGGAATCTCCCATCAGGGAACATAGTTTCTCAGTATCTATCAAATCCTTTAATACTTTCATTTTAGAGATTCAATGGTCATAGAAGTCTCCTGACAGCATATTTTCTACATGGGGTTTAATAACCTTTTCCTCTACACTATAGTAAACTTTATCAAATAAATCTGCATCAATTTTAAGATTGCCTAGATCACTATACATGTAAATCGGTTAAAAAAAAACACAGATTCCTCTAAAAGCTATCAGAATAATGTGATTAATTCATGCAAGTCTCAAAATATTTCTGGACTGCGAGAGGTCAGAGACTTGGATACTTTATTGTTTGTATCCTTATAAATCCAAATTGGCTTGGAGATTTGGAAAGTGAATGTCAACATTGTACAACGCGTTACAGACCTCCCCAGTTATGGACCAATGCCCAAAGTTTCACCACAACTGAAGTCTGCTTTGAGATTATTCCCCAGTATTTTTTATATGATAAAGTTGTGTTCTGTCATGAGTTTCTCTAATGGGAAATGGATATGAAGCACTGGATTCAACAGTCAGTATGCCACTTTACAAGCTGAGAATTTAAATCAGGAAAGAACACCATTTTCAGTCAATATGAGAGCAGCTATTGAGTGACAACACTCTCCCAAGTTCAATATAATGGAATCAAGGTGGTATTAAAAGCCCCCCAACAAGAAGGTACAAACAATGGCAATTGCCAGATTAAATTTATTAACGGAAGCTGTTATTATACTTTCCTTCCCATTAAATCCATTGTGTTCTTGTGGCTCAGCAGTTGTGTTTCTACCTCTGGGCCTGGATTCAAAATCCTCTGATGATATTATGGCTTTAAGAGATGTGTTTTGCCCTGGTTTTTTTTATGAAGGGAGGTTGAGACAGAGGTGAGTGACAAGCAGTCTGTTCCCAGCCAATAAACAGCTTGAGAGGCCTTGGGTTTTTTAATGTAATGTTGGAACAATGGATGCAGCCTGAAGGGGTGGGGTCAAGCTCCCACAGAACCAGGATTTTAGTTTAATTTTCAGCCGTTGCTGGGGTCTTGAAGCTTGATATGGAAGCTGTTTTTCCTTTCCCTGCTCCAGCTAAAAATTTGGGTTCTCTCCCTGTTGCCAGATTCACATGTGAGACAATCTATTTTACTGAATTTGCCTTTGCCAAGGGTGTATTTATGGGATGTTGCTATATTGGAACGGTTGCTATTTAGTAATTAAATAATT